AGGAGGATGCCTGAATCCATGGCTAGGACCTATTCTGGTTTATATTTTGATTTTTCCAATGCCTATACTTCTATAATAAAGTTTAACTTATCAATTAAGTCACAGTAAAAGATTAACAACTAAAAAAATTAATACTGACAATATACTGCAATAAAGGGTGTTTAAAGTTATGGATTGTTTATGTCTGTAGATTTTTACTTAGTAATTTGGTCCTGTAGTTGATCGTGGATAACCCCAACCACAGAAGATGAAATCTTTGAGGTGATGTGCTGTGCTTGCTTTGTGCCAGGCCCTGTTGTAGCACAGAAGAATAAGAAGCAGTCTGGTTCCCCAAGATATTTGCTACCTGTGTTTTGGGGGAGACAAAGCCAATCAGCCGCCAGCTGCCAGTGATGAACATATGAGTATATGGAAGGGTTAGTGGATGCTATGAGGAGATGGAAGTATAGGCAGGAGAAATGACAGGGGCTGTCATGCTGGTCAAGTCACACTCAGGCAGGGAGCTGAGGCCAGTGACAAAGGAGTCTCAAAAACAAGCTGAGGGCCAGGTGTTCCTGGCAAGAGGGGGCTATGCGCGAAGGCTCCCAGGCTCCCAGACAGCTTTGCATGTTCAGGTGGATGGAGGCTGATGGTACTGGAGCATGTAACATGAGGAGAGTGTAGGACATAACCATGGCCACAGCCTGTCTGACCTTGAAGACAATCGAGGCTTGAGATGCTTTCTGGGGGTGGGGCTCTGGGGTGGGACCAAGATGACTTTGCTTTTAAAAGGACTGGAGAGCAGGACCAAGAGCGTGAGCTTGTGATCGTGGGACAGGATGGCGGTTAAGTGGTGAGAAGTGGCGGGCTCTGGATGTATTTTGAAGGTCAGATGGTTTGGGTCCCAACGCATTGATGGGAAGTCTTACCGAACAGAGAGGAGACAAGGCGATCTCGGTGGGTTCTTTTGTTTGTTGTTGGATGCGCTGGGTAAAGAATTACTATCCTGTGCCTTGAGGATGTTCTGCCAGTTCATAAAAGCCTAACTCTTCTTTTTGGCTACTGGCTACCATGCAAGACTTCCTTTAGAACAAAAATGAAATGACTAGCCTGTTTTTCTGATACGGCAATCACATGTAGAAGTGAGTTTTGAGTCATTGGGAAATCTGTTTTGATACACAAATTTAAATTTAAAATTCATTGAAAAGCTGGTCACTGGAACACGTTGATGACATAATGGGGCCCAGAATGAAATGTGTGGTCTGCAGAAAAAAACAAAAGAGTTTATAAAGAAAGTTGACTCAACATTTACTTATTTTTTTTAAGTCAAAGTTTAAATTCACGGTGTCATCTGGAAAGTTAAAAACAATGATTAAGAAGAAGCCAAGTACACTGGTTCAAGCCTGTAATGCTAACTACTGGGGAGGCAGAGACCAGGAGATCACAATGCGAGGCTAGTTTGGGCAGGTACAATAATTAACCTCAATTCCACCAGTGATATGTGTCTGATACGTATCTCAGCCACAAGGGACACACATAGTTAGGCTCAGTGGTGTGTACCTGTCAGGGAAGCAAAAACAGGAGGATTACAGCCCATATTGGTCCAGGCTAATGGGAAACAACCAAACACAAATAACCCAATAGGGTGCAGGGTGTGTGGCTCAATTGGTAGAGTGCCTACCTAGCAAGCATGAGGTCCTGAGTTCAATCTCCAGTAACACCAAAAAAAAAAAAAGGTTAGAAAAATGAAAGGAGCTAAGCTGTAGGCAAAGGATGTTTACCTTATAAACATTACAATTGTAGAAAATGGCAGTATGTAGAAACATGAGAAGCTCTGCATAATATTTTAAATAAAAGGTGGCATAACTGCACATACATTAGTGTTAAGTTTATATTATAAATATACAGCTGAATTTTGTATATACATATAAATACATATCTAAACATACACACATATAAGATCGAATTTATTTTGCATATGTATGATTCTGAACATTTAAAAAGATACTGGAAGGGAATATGCTAGCATATCAAAGATGCTATCTATCTATCATCTATGTATGTATGTATCTATCATCTATGTATCTATGTATCTGTATGTATGTATGTATGTATGTATGTATCTATCTATGTATCATCTATCTAGAGTAATGAATGCAAGGCTGATTTAAAAATCAACCTTAGAATCTTTTCTGTACTTCATGAACATAAGAAAAAATGAACCAAAAGGCCATCATGTATGATAATATTTAAACATGGGTGATTAATCACAAAACATGAGACTTCCTTCCCCTCTTGGTTCCAGGCAAAATATATTCCAGATGTGAAGATGGAGGGTCTTTGAGCAGGGCTGGGGTGGAGTCTGAGGACCCTCCTGTTCCATGGAGATAATTGGATCTTGAGCTCATTGAAATGAGTCTGTACCAAGTAGATGCAGACAGTGAAATATATTCTCTAAGCAAATTATATTTACTTGCTTGATTGATGTGTTGCTTTCTTGTTGTGGCTTTGGAGTCTTTTATTTTTGTCCTAGGTTTTGAACTCAGGGCTCCACGCTTGCTAGGGAGGTGTTCTTCCACGCCTCTGGTGCTTTTTTGCTCTGGATATTTTTGAAATGCTCTTGCTTTCCCCTCCATCTGGTTTGGAACTTGATCCTCCTAGTTACACTCTCCACTGAAGCTAAGATGACAGACGTGTTCTGCCATACTAGCTTTTTTTGTTGTTTTTGTTGAGATGGGGGTTTTGTGAATCTTTTCCCCCTGAAGTTGGCCTCAAATCACCATCCTTCTGATCTCTGCCTCCCCAGTAGCTAGGAGTACAACTATGAGTTGCCAGTACCTAGTTTCTTGAAAACCTTCTAAACCTTGTACTCTTGAACTAGAAACACATTCCAATATCAACTGTTCAGATTTAAAAATAAATGCACGTTCTCATTATGATCTTTTCCTGAAACTCTTGCTAAAAAGAGTTTCACGATATAGGGCTACTTATAAATATTGTTCACACTTATAGAACCCTACAATGAATCATGCATGGCCTAGGAAATGGCTGCAAATGGTGTCTCTCTCTTCCTGACAAGATATTAAGGACTAATGAGGTTAATAGCCAGACTAATTCATGCAATTAGTGGGAGCAGATTCTAGACATTAGCACAGATTTTCTGCGTTCTAAGTTTGGGCGTAATGGGAAACTGTTCTCAGAAAAAGTAATAAACAGCATAGGACATTGGTCCTGGAGTGTAGCGTGAAGGAGGGAGCTAGGCTTGAGTAGAAAGTAATGGTGCCCTGCTGACCTCATCTCCAACCCTCCTTCCTGGATTGTTGTCCCTTCTGACCCAACTTTGCCCAGGGGCTGTGCTTCAAATATCCCTAGAAGTCTGTGGGTCGTATATCTATGTGGAGAGAGAGAGAGAGAGAGAGGGAGAGAGACAGACAGAGACAGACAGATATATAGGTAGATATCTATCTATATATAAAGATATAGACATATATATAGGTAATAGCTATAGATATAGATAGATAAATAGATAAAGTCTTAAGCTGAGCACATCAGAATTGGCTGCGCTTTAGAAGATTCTCAATGGTGTGCTGGGGCTTCTTCCTCGCTGCTGTGTCTCCTTGTGTCGAGTGAATGCAGTAGCGTTTGCATCTCTGGGATTGTTATCATCAGAGGCTGCCCTGGGTGACCTTCAAGGGCAGTGGTGTGAGGGCATCTGATGAGGATGGACTCGGGTCTCCAGGAGGCCCGGTCTGTTGGCTGTGGTGGTGATCTGTGCTGGTTTCTCAACGGGTCCAGTCTGAGGGCGCAGTCACGACCTACAGTACCAGTGATTGACAATTCTGCCCTGACACAGTGCTCTGCTGTACATGCAGCTGTGTTTCTGCTCCCACTCCTGGCCCCACAGTCAGAAAGGAAAGGCAGGACGGCCAGCAGAGCCACCACACCCCAGGATTGTTCAGAGTCTAAAACTAAAACCAGAGATGGTAGAGATGGTGCTGATGGTGGAAGGTGGGTGGGAGGGGCAGGGGGGTGAGGGGTGCGAGGTGGGATCTGACTGGGTGCCCGCCGCTGCTGCTGCGCTGCTTTGGCAAGTTGACGTGGGGGCCTAGGTTTACATGGCGCTTCCTCTGAGACCACGTGACCGGAAGTGTGCAAGCCCTGGTGGGCCTTGCCATGCTTTCCTAACAATCTGTATCACATGTGCTGCGATCTGATTTTATACTTTTGGTGGCATGCTGGGCACACCTAAGTATACACCTATAGCATTTAAAAGTAGAAACGGAGTGGCTTTTAGTATCTTCAGAGTTGGGAAACCATCACCACACCAATTCTAGAACATGTTCATTACCTTAGGAAGAAACAACAGATCTTCCCAGGTAGGGTGGGTGCACACCGGTAACCTCTGAACTTGAGAGGTGGAGGTAATGGGATTTAGAAAGCTGAGGCTGGTCTTGGACTACATCATGAGACCCTGTCTCAACCAAAACTAATGCATTGGTGGCACAATGGCTCAAGTCTGTAATCTTAGCTATCTGGGAGGTGGAGATCAGGAGGATCCTAGTTTGAGGTCAGTTGGGACAAAAAGTTGGAGAGAGACTCACAGCCCTTCTTGAAAGTTCAAGCAAGGAAAAAAAAAGAAAAAGCATATGCTGCTTGCCTAGCAAGTGCAAGGGGCCCTGAGTTCAATCACCAGAACCACCAAAGAAGGGGCAGCGGGAGAAAGATCTCAGACACAGAATGCGAGTGGTTTGTAAGAGACAATGCTCAACCTCATTACGTGCCATGCAAGAGATAGGGGGAAAGAAGGGGGGGATCCCATGAATTTTATAGCCCTGCTTATTTGATTTTCATAATACAAAGAGACTATGGAGCTACTAAACAGCAGCTCCCGGCCATGGCCCGCGAGGCGGCCTGCGAGCGCACAGGGCCTGGCTGGCTGGGCGCCTTAGCCCCTTGTCCTCCTGCCAGCTGGCTTGGGGTCCCTTTCAGACTCACCCGTGTCTCTGCTTCCGTCCCCGCAGCTCCAGATGAAGATGAGCGAGCGCGCCGCGTCGCTGAGCACCGTGGTGCCCCTGCCCCGCAGCGCCTACTGGCAGCACATCACCAGACAGCACAGCACCGGGCAGCTTTACCGCCTGCAAGGTGAGCGGGACGCCTGCGCGGGGTCCGGGGGTCCGGGGCACCTTGGCCACCGTGGGCTGTCCCGGGACACCTCTCCCCCACGGAGAGGCCACACGCAGTGGGGCCCTGGGCACGCGGGACACCCCGCCCTGCCGGACCCCAGATCCTTAAAGGATTCGCATCTGTGACGGCGACCTGGGAAATAGATTTTCCTTTTTCTTTTTGAGCTGTGCGCCTAGAGATTGTGGAGTTCAGATTGTTGGCCTGTGGCTGACGTCTCTTACCTTGTAACACCACCCAGGGAACAGTCCAACAGGCGTTCCTAGAAGCACAGAGTGCCAGGCCCCTGCCCAGTCCTGCCGGAGCTCGGGCAGTCCGGGGGCTTGAGCGAGCCCTCCTCTGCGTGTCCACCAGGCTCCGAGAAAGGCCCTGCCTGGAGGGCCGGGGTCCCAGGCAGGAGGTGGGAAGCTGCCTCGGGTCACACGGTGTGGCCGAAAGCAAACCCTCCGTGTCATTCCTGAAGACCAGAAGAGCAGTCACCAGGCTCTACTTAGGCTCCTTCTTACCTTCCCTCCACGTGCCCTTTCACAGCCCACGATAAAGAGCAACTGATCAGCAAGGGCGTGTGGCTTACTTCATCGATAGTCTAGAGCTTATGGATAGGCCAGCGCTTCATGGATAGGCCAGTGCCTCATGGATAGGCCAGCACTTCATGGATAGGCCAGTGCTTCATGGATAGGCCAGCTCTTCATGGATAGGCCAGCTCTTCATGGATAGGCCAGCGCTTCATCTACAGGCCAGTGCTTCATCTACAGGCCAGCGCTTCATCGACAGGCCAGTGCCTCATGGATAGGCCAGCGCTTCACCGACAGGCCAGCACTTCATCCATAGGCCAGCGCTTCATCGACAGGCCAGCGCTTCATGGATAGGCCAGCGCTTCATGGATAGGCCAGCGCTTCATCTACAGGCCAGCGCTTCATCGACAGGCCAGCCCTTCATGGATAGGCCAGTGCTTCATCTACAGGCCAGTGCTTCATCGACAGGCCAGTGCTTCATCGACAGGCCAGCGCTTCATCGACAGGCCAGCGCTTCATGGATAGGCCAGCCCTTCATGGATAGGCCAGTGCTTCATCTACAGGCCAGTGCTTCATCGACAGGCCAGTGCTTCATCGACAGGCCAGCGCTTCATGGATAGGCCAGCGCTTCATGGACAGGCCAGCCCTTCATGGATAGGCCAGCGCTTCATCCAGAGGCCAGCGCTTCACCGACAGGCCAGCGCTTCATGGATAGGCCAGCGCTTCATGGATAGGCCAGCGCTTCATCTACAGGCCAGCGCTTCATCGACAGGCCAGCCCTTCATGGATAGGCCAGTGCTTCATCTACAGGCCAGTGCTTCATCGACAGGCCAGTGCTTCATCGACAGGCCAGCGCTTCATGGATAGGCCAGCGCTTCATGGACAGGCCAGCCCTTCATGGATAGGCCAGCGCTTCATCCAGAGGCCAGCGCTTCACCGACAGGCCAGCGCTTCATGGATAGGCCAGCGCTTCATGGATAGGCCAGCGCTTCATCTACAGGCCAACGCTTCATCGACAGGCCAGTGCTTCATCGACAGGCCAGTGCTTCATCGACAGGCCAGCGCTTCATGGATAGGCCAGCGCTTCATGGATTGGCCAGCGCTTCACCGACAGGCCAGCGCTTCACCGACAGGCCAGGCTTCATGGATAGGCCAGCGCTTCATGGATAGGCCAGCGCTTCGTGGATAGGCCAGCGCTTCATCCAGAGCCAGAGCTGTGGGCTGGCCTCAGCCAACCAACAAAGCTGTGTGAGGGGACCCCCACCCCTCCCCAAGGAGAATCTGACATTCGGGAAGGGCAAATCCCAGAGTCGGAAGAGCGTGGCCCCGGGGACCCCGGCGTCCACGCAGACACTGAAGAAATGAACGTGAGGATGAACGAATGAGTGTCGCCCAGGGTGCCAGCCTCCAGCCTCCACGCCCGGGACGCATCTCCGCCTTCGGCCTTCCTCCTGGTCAGCCCCACCGTGCGCAGTGGCTCCTGGAATTCGGTAACCCCCAGGCTCTTCACCCTGGCTCCCCAAAGCCGGCGAGCAAGCCGCCCCCTGTGCATTGATGCAATGAAGAAACGCAATGGCGCCCTCCTTCCTGCGCGAGAGCATGCGCAGAGCAGCCAGACGGGTGCAGAGCGAGTAGTGCTCGAGCATGCGCAGAGCGAGTAGTATAGGAGCATGCGCAGAGCAGCCAGACGGGTGCAGAGCGAGTAGTGCTCGAGCATGCGCAGGGCGGATGAGTAGCCGGGGGAGGGGCTCGCTCCAGGTTATCGCCTTCACGTCCAGTTTAGTTTATTTTTGCGGTACTTGAGTTATAACTTTTGTCCCTGTTTACCACGGAGACTATTACTCTATTTTATTCAGTCTTCTGAATAAAAGATTATTCAAATGCATTCGCTTTTCTTTCTTTCATCTTAGGGTTACCCAAGCGCTTGAGCTTTTGAAATTTGGTTTTCAGAGAGCTAGGGCCGAGGCTCTGGCTTGGCTTAGGTCCACGATCTTCCTTCCTCCGCTCCTGTTAGCTGAGCCCACAGCGGTGCACTCCATGCAAGGTTTGCGTTGACAGGTGGTTTTGTTAGCTCTGACCTGCTGTGGGCTTGAGGCTGGGTCCTCCCATCGTTGCTCTGAGGTAGACTGGGACTACAGGCAGGTGCCACCAGGCTCAGCTATAGTTACATTCTTTTTAGAAGTGTATGTTACTACCTTAGACTTTTAAAACCAGTGGCTGGAGTTTGAAAGATGCTCACAGACATCTCAAGTTATCTTGCTTATCATCGGTGGTCAAAGAACAAACCAGAACACCACCTACTTCCCTCTTTCCCCTTCCTTGCCTGGAAAACATGGTGTATCTGGAAACGTTAATGGCCCCGGGGAGGGGGTGAGCCTATGTGTGCCACAAGGACGTCATTTCTTCTCATTTTGCTGGTGCTTCTATGGAATATAACTCCTGGACAAGCGGCCTACGCTGATGGATTTCCAGCTGTCTTTTCCTGGCAGGTCTGGACATTAATCTGGGAAATAATTTAGACCCTAAAGGAGGATTTGTCAAGCTGGTTTGAGGGAAGTGTCCATGTCCTGCCTAAACCTAGTCCACGCGCGCCACCTGCTGTTCAGTTTTGCAGCTGCCGTGGTGGGAGTGGACGGTGCTGGTGTTGATAGGCGCAGACGATTTATTTTCCCTTCCCCGTTTCTTCCGCTCCATTTGCCAATTATCACATGGAAATTCTCTCCTGTGGTGAGGTAGATACAAAATCAACATGGGAGGGAGCTGTAGCAGGGAAACTGGAAGACATTATGAAAGAAAAATATCCAACCAGCTTTCGGTGGAGCACCATAGCCCCAGGATTCTTTCAGAAACACGTTGGATAAAACAAAAACAGTGGCTTGCGAAGAGTGTCTGTGGACGATCACCGTTGAAGATCACACCCTTCCAGAAAAGTCCACTGGTCCGTCATCAAATTGGAGGTGAATGTTCCATAGGAAATTTGCCTCTAGGAAACAGAGAAGCCACCATTTTCAACTCTCTGAGGTTGTCCTGCAACAAATGATGTAGCTCATTTTTCTTAAACCAGAGCTCTGTAATTTTCTTGACTGTGATGCTCCTTTTAAAAGTATCAATATACCTCGGATGCTTGAAGTCCCACATTTAGGCTTTACTGGGGGGTCAGGTCTAGTCTCTGAGTATATTTTTTAAAAATGACTCTTTGTAAGCATCTGCAGAGGACTGGCTTCGCTTTCTTAATACACACTGTCTTACTTGGATCTCTAAACAGCTACCCTGGAGAGTATTTTATTCTCATTTGTTGCTGGGAAACCAAGGACTTGAAGGCTTCACACCTCTCCAAGATCCAGCAAGTAGCTCAGATTGAAGGATTTCTTGTGCCATTCAGCTAGTTCTCATTAATTCAGATGATCATGGACTGGCTCCTCTCTGCCAGCCCTGGGGCAGAAAACATACACATATCTGTGTATGTATGCATGTATACATTGCATCTATCTGTGCTCCTGGGGTGTGTATTTGCCCCTACAGCTTAAAATCAAATGGAGCAACAGTTATCTAAACATTTCCTTTCCCGTTTGATCTGTGTAAGTGGCAAAGGAAATGCTGATCATACTTACAGAAAGCAAGTGTTTATTGAGGTTGAGGCAGAGTCATAGTCCGTGGATGCTCCAGCATGTATCCCAAGACTTTGAGTTGAGATGAGGCAGCCAAACAGCCAGCCAGGGCTAAGCAATCTCCATAGAGAAACACAGCATGTGCAAAGGCCCTGAATCGGAGGAGATATAGGGTGGAAAGGTGTCAGGGGGATGACCTCTGAAGGGTGTGAATGGCAGTCAGCAGGGGATGGCTGCAAGTGGCCAAGATTTGCTTCTGCAAGTGTGCATGGGAGGGTGCTGAGCGCAGCAGTGTGTCAAACTCAATTCATATTTTGGTTGAATGGATTGCAAGGGAACAAGGGAGACGGTGGGGAGGTAGGCCCAGGACCATGGCCAATGAGCAGGGAGGGTCTGGCTTCAGGGAAGTGCACCTATCCCTCGCCCTCGATTCCCCTTGACACCATCATCTTCAGAGCTCCACCCTGTGCTAAAGATGCTCCATGACTCCAGCATGCTCAGACAGCTCCGATGGATTTGCCTTAAGGATAAGATCACTTGCTTTCAAACAGGAACCCGGAAAAGTAGGCACCTCTATCACGATCAGATCAGAGATCTTTGCCCTAAGAACTGGCTGCTTCCTTCTGTGGGGACTCGCTCCTCCTATTCTGCCTGGGCCCTGGAGAGATGAGTAGGAGACCCCGTTTTCTTGTCATCCATCCATGCTCTTAGATCACTGCCTGCTACTCTCTTAACTGCTGCGCATACACTGTGTGTGAGTGCTAGGATATTTATTCATGGAGCAGTCAAGGCAAACTTCCCAGAAGTCACTTCTGGCTCCAAGCATCTGTCATCTCCAAAACAGACAGGGAACTGCAAGGAACCAGAAGCATCCCCGTGAGACGTTCGGACATCAAGACGCACAATGACTTGCAGTGACTCCGGACTGTGCTTTCTCCCATAGTGAAGACCCAGTCAGGGGGCAGCAGCCCTGGCTTCTGGACACTGGCCTTTCCATTCCAGTGCTCTGTCTGCTAGCCTGGCTGCCCTGAGCAAGCCCTCGACCCACCGGGCTCTCTCTCTTCACTCACGGACCTTGTCTTGCTTGGCCAGTGTGAGCAGCTGCTAAAAGAACCACACGAGGGCACGTGGAACGTGCTTCAGGGAGGCCTCGTGCTGACGGAAGAACGGAGCTCAGATTAAAAGCTTGAGAGCCACTTGCGTCCCTCAGTCTAATGTAGTATTGTTTCCTGTGTGTAAGTGGCTGCTACAGACCCCCTAAGGGCTGGACCTGTCTCTCTGGATTTGTACTGGCTCTGTGACCACATATAGTGACCAAGACCTAATCCTGAAAGCCTCCATCTCTGCAGTATAAATTGAGGTCACCCTGAGCCAGCAGGGGGCAGCAGGTGTCTTCAGGGATTGTCCACCTATGGCTGCTTATAGGCCTACTGCAGCCCACCGTCTGCTTTCCTTAATTAAGTTGTATTGGCACCTCTATGTTCATTCTCTACCTGTTAACACTGGCTGCTAAGGGCTGCTGCTGTCTAATTAATGTCTGGTACTTTACAGAGAAAGTCCACCAACTCTGTGTTAATGTCACGAAAGGGTTAATTCCTGACTCTTGACCTTGGCTTAGATTGGAATCTAAACTTGAAATAAAGAAGGCTAGGGGCTGGGAAGGTGGCTCACATGCATGAGGCCCTGGGTTCGATTCCTCCGCACCACATAAGCAGAAAAAGCTGGAAGTGGCGCTGTGGCTCAAGTGGTAGAGCACTGGCCTTACACTGAAGAGCTGAGGGACAGCGTCCAGCCCCAGAGTTCAGGCCCCACGACCAACTAAAAAAAAAAAAAAGGCAAAATTGGTTTTAAGAAGTCATGTATTAGACATGTTAAGTAAAATTGGATTATTTCTGAAGGTTTGCCAAAAATGCCTACCTTAAAATTTCTTCTCCATTGTCCTTATTTTTTCTGATATTGCCTCTGAAATCTCTGGGTATCAATGTTGGTGCCGATGAAAAATTAAGGAAGGGAATAAGTGCTAATGTTAGATTGATCGAGGCTCCAGGAAAAAGACGACATGCATGTGAAGTGATAATCATGCTGTTAATACGCGTATTACTCAGTGGCCTTAAATGAAAAGCATTCCAATTAAGTGAAAACGGGGTTACTAGCTAATTTGATCCTGAACTTTCTTGACACATAATTGTTGCTTTTAAATTCTCTTTGGAAAAGATGTCACCAGCCCTCTGAAGCTCCATCGGACAGAGACTTTCCCTGCCTACCGATCTGAGCACTGACAGCCACTGTCAGGAAGAGTCAGCGCCCTACGATTCATCAGCCACAGATCCACACAGGGGGCTACGGGATGATGACGTCGAGGTAGCTGCAAGGAAGGAAGGAGGAAGGAAGAGAAACAGCTTCACATGCTGGCTAATGGGTAGTCCTTGGGAAACTCTGCGATGCAATACATGCATTTCTCTTTTCTTTTCCTTTTGTTTTTACCAAGTCCTAGCCTCATTGAGACGTGCTGTATGGAGACTGACTTTTCCCTGCTCCTTTACAGATGGACATTGAGGAGCCAATGCCACAGGTGTTTTCCGGTGTACATAATCTTAACGTGTCCCCGGGCTGCTCAGAATCCTCCTTCTGTGGATGTGTATGATTTTCCTCCTGGGTGTTTTGATTGTGTGAGTCAGCATTGACAATAAAATGGCTCTTATGGATTGGTTATCTGCTTTACACCTGTTCTTGGTTATTTTTAATATGGTGTGGTTCTGGTTAACGATTGGGAATCATTCAGTTCAGCTGGTACTTCAGAGATGTTCTTATCTATTATGTTCGAGACTCCTTTGAGGGGCTCTCTAGTACTGTGTATTCTTTCTCACACTCTTCCTTTCTTGTTGCTTTCTTTTTTGTTTGTTTTTTTTTTTTAAAGCCTTTATTTTGGTCTGGAGTACTTCCATAAAACATTTTAAAATAAAAGATCATTCCTCATCTCTGCGGTCTCTGGGTCCTGGTAACATAGTTTGCTCCATAGTCTGGGTATTTCTCAAAGGGTATATGATTTTTTCCCCCTTACAAACTGCGTGTATGATCCTGTGTTGCATTCATCCATTTAGACACTTGTCTGTGGTGCCAGCCTTACCAAGCACTGAGTTCTCAGCACAGCACTCGAGTCCAAGGATGCAGATAGAAAGCCTGGGCCCTGCTGCCAGGGCTGCTTCAGTTCCAGAGAAGAGCCAGGAAACAGAGCTAGAGCGATGGGACCCAGGCACGCTGGCTCAGTGGACTTCCAGTGGGATGCGCTTCTAAAGAAAAAGTCACTCTGTTCTCCAGGTTTGCTTGCCGGGGAAAGGTCAGATGGGACTTGAGTCATGTGAGTGTTGGGCTTTTGGGTTCCTACAAAGCTACACAGGAAAACAGGGCCAGCAAGGTTGCTCTAAGCTGGTAAGGTAGCCAGGTAAAATACAGGGAAGCTGACTCATCTGGACAGTAAACAGTGCATATGGTTTTCTAATAGATGTGTGGCATAAATACTGCCGGAGGCAGGATTGTATTGTTAAGTATTTACTGTATATCTGAGGTCTCAATTTACTTTAATGGTCTGTATTTTCCTTGGTTGATTCTAGGCCCAGAAGTGTACCTGGCCTAATGCTCATGACTGATAAATAGGTGTCGAATGAATAGATAGAAGGATACACTCAAGTCCTTGGGATTCAGTTCTTTGAACACAGGGAGGTAAATTCATGTTGCTTGTATGCTTTCTCCATTCCAGACCCTTCCAAGAGTATTATTATTTTTAACCATACAATAATTGCCTACAGTCTCAGGAAAGTAATTTTTTCCCCTTAAGGTCCAAACTAGAGCCATAAAAAGGTTCATTGGCTCAAGGGTCTGCAGCAGGGCACAGCCGCATCTCATCTGCATTGCTGTGGTCCCTCAGGTCTTTGTTCTCTGGGATTCTGAGGACAGTTGATGTTTCTTCAGGTGTTCAGCATCCTGGGCAAAGGAGAACTGACTTCAGCCAAAGGGGGCTAGGGACAAATGAGCAGTTGAGTGCCAATGGCTTTCCTGCGATGTCCCACTTTGCTCTCTCTGGGTTCTCCATAGCTTCTTTGCACAGCATTTGAACTCCTCCTCCTCCTCCTCCCGGCCCTGTTCATCCTTGTCTCTTCCAAGTTTGGATTGTTATACATCATTGCCACGTCCTTAGTCTTCATTCTCCCGATTGTCCCTGGGCTTTTCCTTCTGAGGCCACCTCCCAAGAGATGTCCCCGAATTTCTACAGCCTTGGCAGCCAGTGGAAGTGGGGAGGGAGAAATAAGCCATAGGAGCAGATAAAGAAAATGGAATTAAAGGCATAATGATCATTTTAATGAAGTCAATTTCTGAAGCAAGACTGAAGCTAGTACCGGTGCAAAGGAAAGTTCTTTGTCATTGCTGAGTGTGAGCCTCCTGCAGGCTGTTTAGGGACAGAAGCCTTAACAGAAAAGAGAGTTCCGGTAGGGGACCCTAGCAGGATTTGTTTGTTGTTGAGCACAGTTCTAAGTACTTCAGTTGTACTATCTAATCTCTGCAATAGCTCCAGGAAGAGTAACGATCATCCCCATCTTACAGATGGAGAAACTGAGTCTCATTTTTATGCCCCCAACTTTTCCTACAACGGGCATATATTGAGCTTTAAGGGTCACATGATACCTGTTCTCCTGTAGTACAAAAGCAGCCCTGGTATGTGTATGCAGAGTGTAGCTGTTTTGATAAAGCTTTTATTCTCAGACACAAGAGGCAATGAGCCCTGTCTACGGTGAAGTTTCTAGCTCCTACTCCTGTCCTAGATGAACAGAACTCCACATGCTGGTTTTTTTATTAGTTTTAGATGTTCAGGCAGAGACCATGAGAGATTAATTTAGCATTCATTTAGAATTCATAAGTATGGCAGGCTTGATATTATTGCGAGAACAGTGCATCTGAATTCATGCTGCCGACTCTGGAGGTTCAAAATACTTAAGTCCATACCTTAATAGCTGTCATTTCACCAGGAGAATGGTCATCTGAAGTGGTTTTGATTTATTTCTGTTTTTTGAAAGCTCAGACTCGAGTGGTGATAAGGATGAGAGAGGAGAGCCTTTTGGATTTGTGGTAGACTTGTATTTAATTAAAACAATGCTTAAAGGCACTTAAGCCAACACTGCCAATAATCTGGAAACGAGACTGAACCATGGAATTCTTCTTGGATGCGGCCTGTGTGTTAAGCCCATCCTGGGGAAGACACCAGGGCAGAACTGGAGGGTGAAATGATAGAGAATCGATAGAGAAATTGCTTGTTCTATTTGCATGTTGAACCCAGAGTTAAAAGAGCTTTTACCTAGAGAGAGGCGGCAGTCACAGTGCTCTCTGGAGTAAAACTGCTTGAGTTTCTGAAAATCATGTATTCCCCAAGTATTGATTAAAAATTGTCCAGAGAGCCAGCTGCTGGTGGCTCGCACTGTAATCCTAGCTGCTCCGGAGGTTGAGGATTGTGGTTTGAAGTTAGCCTGGGCAGGGAAGCCTGTAAGACTCTTACCTTAAAATTAATCATCAAAAAGCCAGAAGTGGTTATGTTGTTTAAGTGGCGGAGTACTATCCTTGAGCAAAAAAGCTCAGAAACAGTGCCCAGGCCCTGAGTTTAAGCCCTAGTGCACCCACACCTACACGTGCACACCCCAAACCCACTCCCCCCCACAAAGTCCTCTGTGGGCCAGGTTGTACATTACTACAAGAATTATAATTCTTGATGCCTAACTCCCAGGTTCCCAGTATTTAAGTCAATTATTCAAGAAGCAGAAAAAGAAACCAAAACAGGAAAAGAAAACCTACATTTGTGTAGAAGGACATTTTTCTTTGTTTTTGGAAAGCTTTATTCTTGCAGGGAAATAAGATACCAAGGCTTAACAAATGGAAATGCCCTCCCTGTTAGTTCCAGAATAAATACCTCCATTTTCAGCTTCCCACCAACACCGAACACCACAAGGCCCTTGCATACTGAGGTTGTCCGTTCTTTAGGTTAAATATGGGAGGAGTCTGCAGGTTGACAGCTGGCCAATGGCAAGGCAGACTTCTGGGGCCTATGTGCAGCTGCCATCTGCTTCAGCCATTGGCGTGTACTGGGGCAAGGCTAGGGCACCGCTGTCAGCTAAGTCTCTTCACCTTTGGCAAGCCACTCATTCAGCAGCTCTGCCGCAGAACCTGTGGCTGCATCTCCAGGCAATTCCAGTACAGGTGAGAGTGGACCCACGACTCAATTGGTGACAGAAATGGAGATGGCCCATCAGGTGAGAATGAGCACCAAGAGGCAATCGGCCAGGTGACCAGGTAACCTTTCAAGATGGCTACAGGAGATCAGTTGTAAGACTGGCGATCCTCCAGATGCTGCTTGCCCAGCCAGGAGCTGTGGAAACTCAGGCACACAGATTCAGAAGCAATGTGGCGCCACCCAGGAAGAGAAGGTGTGTTGTGACCGCACCCTGGCAGTGGCTCCCTGGATTGCATTTCCAGTTCCTCTGCGGTGTTTACTTGGTTGCTACAACAGCTAATAAGGAGACTCAGTCTGACCTTGTTTGTTGTCTGAGATACTGAGATACTGTCTGCAGTGCTCTTTTTCAGAGGAAAACTCCACCTAGGTGTGGCCTGCGAAAGCAGAGATGACAAAGAGGGGCGGGACTAATAAGGCAAGAGATGGGACAGGGATCGGAAGGAAGGAAGCGTTCAGCCACTATGGCCAAGGGAGGTGCTGAACCAACTCCGCCATCACTGTCCTTCCCCTGAGCCCTTCCATCCTTACCAACTTCAGTTCCTTTAGCTTCTGGTAAATCTGCATCATCTCTACCCAAAACCTTGGGTTCCTTGGGTGGATTTGTAGGTACTGGAAATGGGCATCTTTGCTCTGAGTTTTGATAGATCCTCACATCTCTGGATTTCTATGGTGTTATTAGAGAGCCTAAAAGGCCAAGGATTGGGTGTAATGGACTACTTGTTTTCCATTTAGATAGCTAGCCTCTCTAGGCTCAACTCTCTAGCAAAACAGGTGAGGGATACTGGAAGGCTTTTATAGCAATGCTCTGCAAACTTTAGTCCCAGGGTCAAGGTTGGCCCACTTTCTGCTTTTATAAATAAAGTTTTATTGGCACATCACCACACCCTCTTGAGTTAATTATCATCTATCGCTGACACTTGAGCAGAATTGGTAGCTGTCTTGGGGGGCGTTATCCTTCAGAACCGGTTTTCAGAGCCCCCTGCAACCAACTCTCGTGGCCCATCAACAAGTAAATGTGGCTACTTAAGAATGAGATGAAAAGATTTAAGTGTACTTTTTAAAATGATCATTAGTATGCTAGGACATTAAGGCCTATTGAATTGTTTGGACCTAACAACTTGATTAATGGAGCTTCCTTTTGATGTCAGGATGCTGGGGAAAGAATTTCCAGTGACTCTTTAAGAGGCACAATGATACTCATTTTGCTGAACTATAAGTTAATTGTGCAAAGCTGTTACACTATTGGAATATGTGAGGACCCAGAGGAGGAAAAGTCAAGGGGGTGGGGGAAGGGTTCAGACTAGTGGAGAGAGGAAAGGTGGTCAAAAACAATCATAATATTCAAAGTACATGTGTGAGATAAGATGAGAGTCTCATGGACTTTTCCTGCCTGGGCTGGCTTTGAACCTTGATCCTCAGATTTCAGCCTCC